TGGAAAAACAAAAGGTCCAGAATATCAAAGGAACTAATGAAAAGAAATGCAGGGGAAGGTGGCCTAGCAATTCCAGATCTTAAATTGTATTATAAAGCAGCAATCATCAAAACTGCTTGGTACTGGCTAAGAAATAGAGGTGGATCAGTGGAATAGGTTAAATATGCAAGACACAGTAGTCAATGACTATAGTAATCTATTATTTGATAAACCCAAAGACCCCAGCTTCTGGGACAAGAACCCACTTTTGAAAAAAACTGCTGGGAAAACTGGAAAAGAGTATGGCAGAAACTAGGCATAGACCCAAATCTCACACCATATACCAAAATAAAGTCAAAATGGGTTCAGGACTTAGATATAAAGGCTGATACTATAAGCAAACTGGGAGAACAAGGAATACTAGTTTACCTATAAGATCTATGCAGAACAGAAGAATTCATGACCAAACAAGAGATAGAGAACATTACAAAAAGCAAAATAGATAATTTTGATTACATTAAATTGAAAAGTTTTTGCACAAACAAAGCCAATGCAACTAAGATTAGAAGGAAGGTAGAAAATTGGGAAAGAATTTTTACAACCAGTCTCTCTAATAAGGGCCTCCTTTCTAAAATATATAGAGAATTAAGACAAATTTGTAAGACTACAAGCCATTCCCCAATTGATAAATGGTCAAAGGATATGAACAGACAGTTCTCAGATGAAGAAATTAAAGCCATCTATAGTCATATGAAAAGCTGCTCTAAATCATTATTGATTAGAGAAATGCAAATCAAAACAACTCTGAGGTACCATATCACACTTATCAGATTGGCCAACATGATAAAACAAGGAAAATCATAAATGCCAGAGAAGATGTGGGAAAATTGGAACACTAATGCATTCTTGGTGGAGTTGTGAAATGATCCAACCATTTTGGAGAACAATTTGGAACTATTCCCAAAGGGCTATAAAAATGTGCATATCCTTTGACCCAGCAATAGTACTTCTAGGGCTATATCCCAAAGAGATCATACAAATGGGAAAAGGACCCACATGTACAAAAATATTCATAGCAGCTCTTTTTTGTGGTGGCAAAGAATTGGAAATTGAGAGGATGCCCATCAATTGGTGAATGGCTGAGCAAGTTGTGGTATATGAATGTAATGGAATACTATTGTGCTGGAAGATAAATGATGAACAGGCTGACTTCAGAAAAACCTGGAAAGACCTGTATGGTCTGATGCTGAGTGAAGTGAGCAGAACCAAGAGAACTTTATACACAATAACAGCCATGTTGTGTGATCACTAATATTGATAAACTTAACCCTTCTCAGCAATACAAGGATCTCAGACATCCCCGGAGGCCTCATAATGGAAAATGCTATCCACATCCAAAGAAAGAACTATGGAAGTTGAATGCTATCACTTTTTTTTCCTCTTCTGTTGTGTTTTGTTTTCTCTTTCTAATGGTTCCTCCTATTGGTTTTAATTTTTACTTACAACTTCACTAATGTGAACATATGTTTAATAGGAATGTAAATGTATAGCCTATATGAGATTGTGCTTCACCTTGGGGAGGGTGGTGGGGAGGAAGGGGAAGAAAAATTTTAAACTCAAAAGCATATGGAAGTGATTGTTGATAAATCAAAATAAATTAACAAAATTTTTAAAGAAGGAAAAAATAAATAAAATGAGGGCTGGACTAGGTGGCCTCACACTCCCCTCCAACTCCATATCTAGGATTCATGATCTTAAAATGGCAAAAACAGGCTTTCACAAAGCCTTTTCATCAGTTTATCTGGGATCTGGCCCAATTTGGCCCTTGGAATGACATCATAAACCTTGGCGCAGTAAAGTAAAAATGGGCCCTGCCAGCTTCACTTCCCATCACTAGTCACAGGGGAGCAGAGACTGGACCAGGTGTGCTCAGGCCTACTCTGACGTCTCAAAAAAGATCTGGCATTTTAGGCCTCTTTTTTTATATTTTTTAAGAGACTGGGTTTCCCTATCTCACCCAGCATGAAAGTGCAGAGGCTACTTCTAGACCTGGTCCCATTCTGATTAGTACAGGAGTTCTGACCTGCTCTATCTCTAAACAAGGCTAGTTCCAACCCTCCTTAGATGACCTAATTCAGAGCCTCACTCTCCTCCTAGGGTCTCATCATATTCATGCTAGACTTAGTGTAGACAGTCTATCAGCTTAGGCCACTCTAGTTCCAAACCCTTAAGTTCCAGCACTTCCAGCCCCAGCCTCCCACGTAGCACCACAATACCCAGCTGCATTTATTTTTTTTACAGACTGACTGAGCACAAAGTTTGCAGGGAGACGTATCGTTGAGCCGTTTCACTTGTGTCTACCTCTTTGTGACCCTATTTGGGGTTTCCTAGGAAGAGGTACTACAGTGGTTTGCCATTTCCTTCTTCAGCTCATTTTATAGATGAGGAAACTGAGGCAAACAGGGTTCAGTGACTTGCCCAGGGTCATACAACTAGTAAGTATTTGAGGCCAGATTAGAACTCCTGAGGATGAGTCTACCTGATTCCAAGCCCACCTGACTGCCGGAATCATTCATTAAGCAAAAGTAAAGGCTGATCTCCTAGGTGAAGAAGGAAGTTAACCAGCATTTAGTAAGCACCTACTATGTGCTAAGCATTGATCTACATGGTTTACAAAGGTTATCTCATTTGATTCTCACAACAACACTAGGGGATAGGTGATGCCTACCTTATGATGCCCATTTTACAGAGGAGGAGACTGAGAGACAGTGATTTGACCAGGCACCACACAACTATCTTAGGTCTGATTTGAACTCAGATCTTCCTGACACCTAACCTGATGCTCTATCCATTGTACCACCTGGTGTCTCTAGATAGACAGTGTCATGTAGCAAAAAGACTATCAGGCAGCAGGCCAGCCAACTTGGGCCCTTCCTAATACCCTCCCAGATCTATCTAAGTCCCAGCTATCTTTGGACCGCAGTCCAATCACTTCATTATTTCTTTACCTAAAATAAGAATAATGATCTTTGCTTTACCTAACTCACGAGGTTGATGACTGTGGAGTCAGTGAACCTGGATTCAAATGTTGCCTCTGATACTTCAACTTCCCTAGCCTCAGTTGTTCCTGAGGTTCCATCCAGCTCCAGACCTGGGACCCTAGCCACCCTTAAAGTGCTACAGAAGTGGGAATCATTTCCTTTAGCCCCTTGAGGACCAAGCCCCATGAAGCAGCATTCTTGGGGTTGCAGATTATCTACCTTCCATCACAGGAGTCTGGGGCTAATACCATAAGATCTAAAACATCATAGATCATCATTTCAAGGAGGAGCAATAGAATCCACTGTAAAAGTGAATGCCCAAAAGACAATGAGGGAGGCCTGACAGTGAGCAGATCCAGAAATGCTCAACCCTTTCATGGCAACTTTTCACTGGCGTTAGCACCATGTTGTAAGCAAATATTCTAATTACTGCCCTAAGTGAAAATTATCACATGAACTGCCACTCTCTTGAGAAGAGTTTTGCTTCAGGGAGCCTTAAATGAAGGGAAACTATGTAATTCAAAACAATGGCCATATAAGGCAAAAGAAAAAATTAGTTGGATCAGTGAAAATGGAGAGGAGGATTAATGAATGTTCTGGAAAACACAGCCAATGATGGAAATCTCCCAACCTCCCTCACTGGAAGTCCCAAAGGATGCTAGAAAGAGACTTCCACTGTCCTCCCCAAGTTACAGTCGGCTTTCCTTTGCTAATAATGATAGTTGACACTTTGATTCATTCACCTGGTCAAAGCTCAAAGCACTTTGCATATATTGTCATTTAGAGTCTTGAAATAAAACTGAGCTTTTTGGCACAGAAACTATTCCCATTATATAGGAAAGGGCAGTGGGCCTAGGTTCAAATTTTACTTCTGATACATTATATGACTTTTGTGACTGAGAGCAAATTACTTTCTCTTCTCTTCTCTCCTCTTCTCTTTTCTCATTCTCTCTCTCTGTCTCTCTCTCTCTCTCTCTTACCAATATGTAAAATAAGGGGGTTAGACTACATATAATAGACTAACCTTAATAATAATTTCAAATGCTATCCTCTTTCACATAATTTTTTTAAATATTTAAATGTCTGTGTTTATTGTTTTTAAATTACCCCTTCCTTCCAATGTCTCAGGTTCATAATCTTAGCACAGTACTGAACTCCTCACTCTCCCTCACCCACATAGCCAATCAGTTGCCAAATCTTGGTCCCTAACAGTTCTAATTCTATGGCCCTGTGATCTAATCATCCTCATTTTACAGGTTAGAAGACTAAAGTTCAGAGAGACTAAGTGATTTTTTTCTAGTAACTGTCCAAGGTGGAATCTAAGGCCAACCCTTTGCAGATTCTAGATTCAACACACTTTCCACTATGCCATATTTGAATAACTCATTGTAATAGTGATCTCAGTGATTTTGGGCATCCCTCCATGTGCACAGAGCTCAATCCACCAGTGACTTTTTATCTTAGGCAATTCTTGTCTGTGTCCTTAAATAAATCCTTCAAAGAAAATTCACCCTATGAGCTAAAGGCTATTTCCAAGTGTGCTATTTCAGTATACTAGGACAATAGCCAGACAGTTCATTTGTTAGCCTTTGCTCTCTCTTCATGCTGTACCACCTATTTTTCTGATCATACATGTGTTCTGAACTTAGAATAAGGATGGGTGGATTCAAAATCTGCCCCAGGAATTGACAAACTGAATGAATAAACAGATGGATGAATGAATAGATGAATCAATCAATAAATCAATGAATGAGAAAAGCCAAGGGCTCATGGTAGGGCACAGATTGGCTAATACTTCCCATGCTCTGAATGCTGCAGCTTCTGTCTACATAGCCCACACCCACATTAGTCCTTTTGGCTGCCATGACACACTGCTGACTTAGGTTGAATGCAGTCCTGCATTTAGAACTCTATCCCTGCCTCTGAGCAGGTAGAAAAGTGAATTCACTACAAACAAAATATCTGCTACCAAGAGCTCACCTGAATGGCGGCCAGGTTCTTCTGCTCTGGACTGGGCGCCTCATGTACAAAGCGCAGCCAGTTAGAGAAGCGGGGGTTGCTGGCATCCAAACGTAGAGGACTTGGCCCTTACTTCCACGCACCTGGAACACAAAAGAGTCAAGTATAGTATTGCTTTCAATCTTAATCAGAACAAGCAAGCTAAAACTGATTAACATGCAGAAAATCACATAGAATTAGAGACCATTTTCATTTTTTCCTTCAGTAGATTCTGAGTGGAGGGGGCTAGAAAGATAGAAAGGGAGCAGGTTGTAAAGGATTTTAATAGGTAAAAAGAGCAATTTATGCTTCCTCTAAGACATAACAGGGATCCCCTGGAGTTTATTGAGTAGAGAAGTGATACGGTCAGATCTGACTTTAATAAAGTCACTTTGGCATCTGTGTGCAAGGTGGACTGGAGAGGAATCAGAAAGGCCAATTAGAAGGCCTTTGAAGTTGTCCAGAAGAGAGGTACTAAGGTGGTAGCCATGTGAGTAGTGAGGTGGGAATGGATATAAGTGATACTGCAGAGAAAAAATGACAAATTTTGGCAACTACTTGTTTATTTGGGGTGAGAATGAGGGGTCAGAAATAATGTCAATATTGAAATCCTGGAGGATGAGAGGGAGAGAGGTACCCAACACAATAATAATACTTCTGGAAAGAATGTATCCATTGCCTATCATATGGTTCCATTTACCATGACTATAACCTCCCAAGTAAAACCATCCTTCCCCAGTGGAAGCTCTCTTATGTGCATTGCCTCCCCTTACCAGACTATATGCTCCTTGAGAGCAGGAATGGTCTTGCATCAGTATTTATATCTCCAAAGATTATCACAGCGCTTGGCACAAAATAAGGTCTCTAGAAATCTTTTCATTCATTCTTCCTTTCATTCATTCATGCCTAGTGTCACAATGCCACTGAATATCAGAAGCAAGATTTGACCCTCACACTTCTGAACTTCAAGGCCAGCTCTCCCATGCTCACTCTGGGTGCATTGGGTTATTTGGATCTAGGCCAATACCTAGTTGCAAAGGAAAAGACTGCAGATGTGCCCCATAAGGTGATGGAAGGACTAAGCCACCACAGATGTTTTCCCTTAAGAGGAGCACAATACTTACAGCACCTATTGGAAATCTCAGGTTTGGGAGTTGGAAGGAAAAGCATTACCTAGCGCCACCCCCTCATTTTTCAGAAAGATAGAAGCAAATGTTTGCAAGGGGAAAAAAAGAAATAGATGGACAGAAATGAAATAAATGAGGAGTTTGGAAAACATATCACAAGCCTGGAAAAGAGGCATGATAACTGTAGTGATCTAGGGACTTCAATTATGTTGATATCTGCTGGAGTGCATTCTCTCTGCCAAAAACAGAGTGGCTGATCACTTCTTGACTTGCCTTAATGATCATTTCCTCCTTCAACAAGTAGATGAAATAAAAAGAGGAAATTCTATTCTGGAGTTGATCCTCACTAACAAGAAGGAGCTGGTTGTTAGGGTGGAAATGATGGTAGTAGGGGAAATTTATCACTCACTTTTGAGATAGAGGAGAAGAAAGCCAGATCCAAGATATGAGTGGTCAAAGAATACGAACAGCCTCTTTTCGAAAGAAAAAAAATCAAGCTTTCAACAGCTATATGAAATTAATGAGAGATGCAAACGAAAGCAACTCCCTCATCCTATCAGATTGGCAAAGATGACAAAAGATAATGGCAATTATTACAGGTGCTGTTGGGGGACACTCTTAGTGTCGTGGTAAACTGATCCAATCCTGGATAGTAATTTGAAACTATACCCCAAAAGTCATTAAACTATCCATTCCCTTTGACAAGCACAGCATCTCCTAGGTATATATTCCAAAGGGGACAAAGTCAGAGGGAAAGGACTCAAATGCAGAAAAGTACTTATAGCAGAGTCTTTTATTAATTATAGCAAAAAAAAAACCTGGAAATAAAGTAGGGGCCTATTGCCTGGAGAATTGTTGATCAGAAATGACACATAAATGTAATGGAATATTATTGCTCCATTTGAAATGGCAAAGGGGTGGATTCAGAAGGGGAAGACTTCTAAGAACTGGTACAGAGTGAAGTAAATAGAACCGGAGCACTTCACAATGATTATAAAATTGTAAAGGAAAATAGCTCTGAAATACTTATTTCCTTTGATCAATGTAGTGACCAATTATAACTCCAGAAGGCAGCTGATGAAGCATGTACCCCCTCTTCTAGGCAGAGGGATGATAGAGTAAAAGTAAAGAATGTAACATATATTTGCAGACATGGACAACTGGCAGATTTGCTTGCTTAACAATATTTATGTTACAAAGGAGGAATTCTATAAGGGAGGGAGAAAATTGGTAAGTAATGAGGGTGATTCTAAAAAAAGGAGAAAAGAAAGAAAACATAATTTAAAAAAATGCACAGAAGAGAACAGAAGAATATTCAGAAGGAAACAGACAAGCAGAGAAGTTTTGTTATGATCTTATGAAATTTAATACATATATTTTAAAGAAACACATAGTTGATGGAAGTTCATAGTTTCACATATAATCCTGTTTCCTACTCTTTATTAAAATGGTTGTGTCTGTTGTGCTGAAGGTACCACCATTCCAATGTCCAAGGTTAATAGTCTTGGCGTGGTCCTTTACTCCTCATTCTTCCCTCACCACACATAACTGATAGCTGCCAAATAATGCTATTTCTGAACTCCACAGAATCTCTTGAATCTGATCCCTTCTCCCCACTTACACCAACCACCAAATTTCAGGTGCTCATCACCTCTGGTCTAAGTTACTGCAACAGCCACATAATTGGTCTCCCTGTGACAAGCCTTTCACCACTCCAATCTATTCTACTCACTGTTACCAAAATCAATTTTCTTGAGCATAAATCTGACCACATGACTCCACTCTTCAACCTATTCCAGTGACTTCCTATTGCCTCTAGGATAAAATGCATGACTCTCTCTATTTCGCTTTTAAAGCTCCTTTCCAAACTGCCCCCAACCTATCTTTCCATCTTCATTGGATATTACGCCCCCACCAGCACTATGTGACTGAGCCAGACTGGCTTTATTTTGTTCTTCAAACCCTGTCTCATATACATGCCTTTTCACTGACTGTCTCCCAGGCCTGGAATATACTTCCTCCTAATGCTCACCTCAGAGAGACCCTCTCTTCCTTTAAGACCCAGATAAAGCACCATCCTGTATGAAGCCTTTCCTGATCCCGACTGCCAATGCCCTGCCTCCTAAACTATCTTGTAGTTAACTTCTAAGTATACGTGTTATCACTCATATTTATCACATATATACTTATTACACTTAATATGTATATGTATATATGCATATATACATGTATGTGTGTGTATGCACGTGTTTATGTATGTATGTGTATGTATCACTAAGAGTAAAATTCCAAACATGTGAGAGGAGACAATTTGGGAAGGGAACAAGGGGAAGAAAATCTGTCTAAAAAGACTGATGTGGCTACAAGACAGTTTGCCAACAAGACTTAAAAAAGATAGATAGGCACAACCAGTCATGATGACGCACACTAATGATCCTTTCGGGGGGGGGGGGCTAAAGCTGGTCGATCACTTTAGCTGGAAGTTCTGAGCTGCAGGGCCCTAAACCAATCAGGTGTCTACACTAAGTCAGGCATCAATATGGTGAACCCTGCCCCACTCCAAGAACAAAGGCTGTCAGGCTACCTAAGGCAAGACAAAATGGCCCATATCAGAAATTGATCTGGTCAAAATTTCTGCACAGATACCCAGTGGGATTAGGATTGTAAATGACCACTTAGCTCTCAGCCTGAGAGATGGTGAGATCCAGTTTTAAAAAAAAATCAATATGGGGGCACCTAGGTGGTGCAGTGGATAGAGCACCTGCCCTGGAGTCAGGAGGACCTGAGTTCAAATCTGGCCTCAGACACATAATACTTCCTCACTTTGTGACTCTGGGCAAGTCACTTAACCCCCAATTGCCTCACTAAAAAAATAAATGAATAAAACAATAGGTATGGAAAATGGAAGAATGGACAGGTAACACAGCATAAATCTAAGAATGTGTCACAATCGTATAAAAAGATTGTCAGAAGAATTAACACAGCAAATAACCTGAGGATAAGGAGGAATTCAAAGTCAAGAAGTGATTTTTTAAAAAACTATATTAGGGGAAAGAGGAGGATTAAAGAACATATGGGACCATATTGTTCACAAGGAATGGGATGATAATTCAGAGGAGACAGAGGACTGAATTCTAATTCTGATTATGGTGAGTTTTTCTCTGCCAAGAAGAGTGACTTTTGCAATAAAAATGGCCAAACAAAAATGGCTTAGCAGGAGTTGATGCCCTACTAGTAAGCAAAATAACTAAGGAGCTAAAAAGAGAGCACCTCGTGCCCATTCATGAAGTCATGTTGCCTGGCTCAGATGAACTACATCCTCAGGTGCTGAAAGTACTGGCTGGCAGATATGATTGATGAACCACTGTCAGGGATATTTGAGTGACAGAAGAGAGAAGCAGTTGGACTGGAGAGCAGCGAATGTTGTCCCAATTTTCAAAACAATGGAAATAAACAGTCTCCAAACTATAGGCTAGCAAGCTCAACACTGATTATTAGCAAAATTCAAAATGTGCCATCAAAGATATGGTTAGACTGAAGAGTCATGATTACAAAGATCGAGCATCGCTTTGTCAAGAATAAATTATACTAGGCTAAAAGTGTTTCCATATTTTTTCTGACTAATACTAAATGGGTGGATCAGAAGAATTTTGTACATGCAGTTGTCTAGGCTTTTGGAAAGCATCTGATAAATTCTCTCATGCTATTCAAATGGAGAGATGTGGACTAGACTCTGTCACCATTAGACAGATTCTGAACTGATAAAATGGCAGCATTCAAAGATTTCCATGTTCTTTTCTAAATTTTCCAAATTCTTGCCCTCCTGACCTCTCTCTAGAATACTCTCTAGATACTTTGGTTTCATGGCACAGCTCAATCCTGGTTTTCCCCCTACCAGTCTGGCTGTTCCTTCTCAATATCTTTTTTTTGTTAGAATCTCATCTGTGTTATGCCCTTTACCCGTGCATATACTCAAG